CTGAAAGCATCCACCTGGAATTGAGGCAAGAACTCTTGTTCCACTGGTTCCAGATACACCCGAGGACGATGCATGCGGAGCAAGGCTGCCTGTGCTGCAGCCTGGCGTTCCTGCAAGTTGCTCTGCTGGGTCATCTGGACCTGTGATGTGACATTGTCACAATACTGTTTGACGTGCTTTTTGCACTTGAGATAGAGTTCCTTGGCCGATTCCGGAGACAATTTATCCCCTTGCCACATGCTTGTGATCCATTCTGGAGACACTGCATAGGACTTGAACGGTGGTGCATTTGTGGCATGGAGTATGGCACCTGTCTTGAGCGGAGTCAAGTAAAAGTGCCCCTGATCATAGGCTCGTTTGCAAGCCCGTCCGCGGGCGACTGGTGCTGCAAGCGACCTGTACGGCTGCGAGTTGCGAAACTTCAATCCAGGCTCATTTCGAAATGAGATGGTCTTGCCAATGGCATCAAACATAAAATGTATGTGTACCAATGGAATGGGAGGGTTGGCCGCAAGCGAAGCTTCCACATGTAGCTCCATGGCTGCAGTCCAGCGCGTGATAGGTGTGCTTGACACCAGCTGCTGCCTGAAGGCCGAGAACTCGTCCCACAATCCTTGCACATAGGGGTGACACTTGAGGCGACTGCATACCTCAGAAATGCCATTGTGACCCTTCGCAACCAGCACCGCCGACATTGCGGCATCGTCCACACGGCTCCACGACCCTGAATACCGAAACATAGTCCCACTGCCACGGTACGAACTCATGACATCCTCCTCCACCTCATGTGGGCCACGGAGGGGCGTCTCAGATGTCCAAGCCATGATTAGACGGGTGGCTGCTGCATGAAGCCGGGGTGGTACCTGCCCAGACTCCAGCATGGAACTCAGCATCTGACGCTTGTTGGCGGCTGAGGTGAACTCTCGTTTGGCCGCAGCACGTGCATCCTGACCCCCACGTCCATGCTCGGCAAGGTAGGAGGCAACCCACTTGTCTCTCACAAGCGTTCTCACCTGCCCAAGCTCATCACTCGACGGCGCGGCAGGAAGAGGCTGCTTATATAGCAAACGCCGGCGCTTCATTGAAGCAACTTTGGGCCACGCGCCAACGGCAGAACAGATCACTGGATGTCCAAAACTGTGGAAAGGAATGGAAAGGGAACACCAAACCTGTCAGAACCCTTGCGACTTCCACGTTTCTGGTGGAAAACAGAGCGGAAAGGAACGCAAAGGAACCTTCCAGATGGAAATCCCCCTAGTGGGGAAGGCATTCCTTTTTTCCCGCTGTGGGAGAATAGAATTATTATTCTCCCAGAGCAGAAAAAAAGGAACGCCTCACGGGGCTCACTGTGGCCTTCCAGCTACTAGTGGTCTCCAGTCCTTCGGCCCAGGTGGACGATGGCATGTCTTTTTCTTGGTGGATCCACGCTTGAGCGACCAGAAGAGCGTCCTTTGAGCAATAAAACTGGGGAGACAAAGCGAGCAACATGAGCAGCGCATCCCGAGCAAAATGAAACCAAGGAGGGGGGTAGCGAGCAAAACAGGCATCTCTTTGCATCGTGCGGCGCTTCTACGCTGTGAAGTGTACGTGGTGGGAGCAGGACAATGCCGAAGTGTAAATTGCGTCAACGCCTGCTCTGCAAGCTACAAAGCAAGGAGCGGCTGGACTTTTGCCCTGTTCAGTCACAAATCCGATGGAAGTCAAGCAAGCCTCGGCAACTGCACTGCCTGCAGTTTTCATTCTGAAAACAAAGCTGCACTGCACGCACGCTCCACAGCACGACACAGCAACATTCAGTCTTCAAACTGCCGCTGCACTGCACTGCTGTCTCTACCGCGTTAAAGCAACACTTCAGAGCACGACGCCACTAACATCGCTCTCTATCACGTAGCAGCACTCCAGACCATGACTTGTTCTGAGTCTGTCAATCTCAGGTCGCGACCGATGCGTCAGAAATCAGAAAAGCCTAGGGAACTGCGCTTGATTTACCTGATGCTACACTGTACTGTTGTCTCTAGTCAGTCTTGAAACTGCGGCTGCACTGCACTGCTGTCTCTACCGCGTTATAGCAGCACTTTAGAGCACGACGCCACTAACATCGCTCTCCATCACGTAGCGGCACTCCAAACCATGACTGGGACTGTTCTCAGTGTGTCAATCTCAGGTCGCGACCGATGTGTCAGAAATCAGAAAAACCTAGGGAGCAGCGCTTGATTTACCCGGTGCTACACTGTACTGTTGTCTCTACTCAATCTTCAATTGCCGCTGCACTGCACTGCTGTCTCTACCGCGTTAACAGCACTCCAGAGCGCCACACCACGTAAAACTGGATTTGCAGAGTCTCCAGCTATTCTTTGGAAGCGTGTTCTTGGCAGAAGTCTAAAAATCTCCGCTCAAAACCAGAAAATAACACCTTCAACCCTAAAAGGAGATGTTGGTTGGGAAACCCCAGATGTGTTGAGGAACCCTAAACCCTAAAAGGAGCTGAACTGAAAGAGCAACCCTGCGAAGAGTCTTGAATTGCCGCTGCACTGCTGTCTCTGCCGCGTTAGCAGCACTCCAGAGCACGACACCACGAACACTGCCCTTTACCGCGTTAGCAACTCAAAAGGTTGCAATTATGTCCTAAATCTCAAAAGGTTGATCCGATGCAATATCTTCCCAAATATGACAGCACGACGCGGCTACTTGCAAGAACGGCCGCAACAGCACAGAGAGAGGCTTGGATCTCAGGTCACGACTGATCCGTCGCAAAAAAAATCACACCTCAAGAACGGCGCATCATTGAGCTGATGCTGCACTGCGCTGCTGTCTTCAGTCTTCAGATGCACTGCACTGCGCTGCACTGCACTGCTGTCCCTACCATCGTTTACAGCACTCCAGAGCACATCTCAAAAGCTTGATCCGATGCAATTATGTCCTAAATCTCAAAAGGTTGATCCGATGCAATATCTTCCCAAATATGACAGCACGACGCGGCTAGTTGCAAGAACGGCCGCAACAGCACAGAGAGAGGCTTGGATCTCAGGTCACGACTGATCCGTGGCAAAAAAAATCACACCTCAAGAACGGCGCATTATTGAGCTGATGCTGCACTGCGCTGCTGTCTTCAGTCTTCAGATGCACTGCACTGCGCTGCACTGCACTGCTGTCCCTACCATCGTTTACAGCACTCCAGAGCACATCTCAAAAGCTTGATCCGATGCAATTATGTCCTAAATCTCAAAAGGTTGATCCGATGCAATATCTTCCCAAATATGACAGCACGACGCGGCTACTTGCAAGAACGGCCGCAACAGCACAGAAGAGGCTTGGATCTCAGGTCACGACTGATCCGTCGCAAAAAAAATCACACCTCAAGAACGGCGCATTATTGAGCTGATGCTGCACTGCGCTGCTGTCTTCAGTCTTCAGATGCACTGCACTGCGCTGCACTGCACTGCTGTCCCTAGCATCGTTTACAGCACTCCAGAGCACATCTCAAAAGCTTGATCCGATGCAATTATGTCCTAAATCTCAAAAGGTTAATCCGATGCAATATCTTCCCAAATATGACAGCACGACGCGGCTACTTGCAAGAACGGCAGCAACAGCACAGAAAGAGGCTTGGATCTCAGGTCACGACTGATCCGTCGCAAAAAAAATCACACCTCAAGAACGGCGCAGTATTTGCTGCACTGCACTACTGTCTTCAGTCGTCAGATGCCGCTGTACTGCACTGCACTGCTGTCTCTACCATCGCTAGCAGTACTCCAGAGCACATCTCAAAAGGTTGATCCGAAGCAATAACTTCCTATTTCTCAAAAGTTTGATCCGATGCAATATCTTCCGAAATCTCAAAAGCTTGATCCGATGCAATATTTTCCTAAATAGGACAGCAGGGCTTGCAAGAACGGCCGCAACAACGCAGAGACAGGCTAGCATCTCAGGTCACGACCGATCCATCGCAGACAAAGCACACCATTGTTGAGCTCATGCTGCCGTGCACTGCTGTCTTCAGTCTTCCCCAAAGCACATTAACAATGTTCTTGCCAAAAGTCTGAACATGTTAGGACAAAGGCATCACGGCTACGACTTGTTACTTGCAAAAGAGCGAATGAAAACTTCACAGGACTACTGCCACAATCTCCGACATCATTTCAGCAAAACAAAGCAGCAATATTTTCAAGGCACGTGTCGCTGCATCTGCTTCTCTTGCAGAAAGCAGCAACAGCACAGGCGTTTAGAGTGCAGAAGAAAAGTTTGGAGTCTGCACAAACTTGTCGACTTCAGAAGAAGTCTGCAGATTATCAAGAGCATCAGCTGCGGGAGTGAGAAACGAGGGAAAAGCTTTCGAAAAAACAGTTTCTAGAAGCTTCCAGCTCCCACTCTCAGAGAACTGGTTGCCTCTTTTCTACAAGAAGCCCTAGCAAGTCTGCCTCGCTCAGCTTTCGTGCCACCGCCCGCGCTTTTTTGAGCTTTTTTGTTTCGGCCTTTACCACCTTGCTCAGCTGCTTGGCTTGTACCTGGAGAGGCACACAAGGCTGTACAAGAAAGGGCCTGAGCCTCCTAAGACACACAATGCTGTGAGCCTTCGCAGCTGCCCTGGCAGCTTTTAGGGCAGCAAGGCGTTCGTTCAGCGTTTCCTGCGTAGATACGAGTGAGCAGCTGCTCCTGTGGATGCTTTTTTGGCATGGCTACCTGGGGCAGTTCCACACGGTCGGGCTCTCGTGGAAGCTCAGGTCCCGCAACCTCGGCCTCGGGCGGGGCGCTTTGTTTCAGCAGGGGTGCTGTGAAACAGTGTTGACCTGCCTCGTTGTTTGCCATGCCTTCAGCACGGTGTTTTAAGGCAGGGTTTGCTGGAGCCAAGCAGAGAACTCAGCAAGCGCCATATTAACTGCTTGATGGCCGGAGCCAAAATCAGAGTGCTTGGCAGCAGCTGATACGCTAGGGGCACAAGTCGTTCCTGTACAGTTGCAATTTTTTGCGGCAGCACGTCTTCTCTGCATGCTTCAAGATGTTTAGGAAAGCACCGGCACCTCTCGCCGGGGACCGCCCACCCAGTCAGAAAAAGTCCGGGTCAAGTCGTGCCTTTTAGGCAACAACTGTGCAAATTCATCTGGAGACAAAGCTTGCTCCAGACTGGGAATTCCCTCCGGGAACAGCGAGGCAAGCTTGCCATGCAACCTTTGCTCGGATGTGGGAAGGCCTGCCTGTGCAAAGGCCTTCCAAAAGGGACGATTCGTCCAGTAGTCTGTACACGCTTTGAAAATTGTTCTAAACCAAGTCTCTAGAGACACGAGCCCATTTTGGCAAATTCGCTGCTGGCGGTTTTCGCGCTCCAACCATTTCTTATATGGTCCAAAACACCATAAATCTAAAGGCTGCAGGTAGGACGTCATGCCTGGGGGCACCGGCAGCATGAATAACCCCTGGAGGCGTCCTTCTCTTATGACGCCCGGAGAAAGATGGCACGAGGCCGCGTCGAAGACAACAATGGCCTGATATTGCGGGAAGCGGATGCGAAAGAGCTGACCCAAGAGAGTTAGCAAGGAGACCATATGTCGTGCTGAATTCCATGAGGAATCCTCACGACAGAGAGTCACGGTGGAGGGAACAACGCTTTGCAATTGTTGCTCCAGGGTTCTGCTGAGACGACGCTTGTTACATATTAAAATCTGTGGCAAATGCGCTTGCACACTGAGGACATTTGAGACGAGAGCGACGTGGGTGATGCACCCACGTGCGTCTTGAGGTCTAATTTGAACCTCTGCGTGGAATTTCCGCTGTATCAGGCCAGGCGCAGCATGGAACGAATAGGCTAAAGCCGTTTCATCTATATTGATGTAGACTGGCTGCTTCGCGCTGGAGCGTTCCAACCAAGCAGCGTGGCGCCAGAAGAGCACGGCCTGCAGGCAACGAGAAATGGCTTACCGAAATTGAACCCAAATTGGGCCCCAAAACTGGAGCCAGAACGAGGCCTCATTTTGGAGCCTCGTTTTGGGGTTGTAAGTGCTTCCACGAGTTAGCCTTAGAAAGCAGCTCCAAAAAGAGGGTCCAAAAATGAGCTCAAAAAGCATCCCCGCATGGAGTCGAAAGCGATGCGGCCCCTCAATCCTCGGGTCCAAATGCTGCCGCTGGTTAGGAGGTATCGAAACGCAGATAAGTGCAGAACGATCCACTGCAAGCAGCTACCATAAGCATGCGGTGTTATGCGTGCAGGAAGTCTCGAGAACCCAGCACCCGGCCTTTGCACAAACATCTTCCACTGGCTTGGCCGCTTTCATCTTGCCCAGCCGGAAGGCAAAACTGCGACGGAAGCGACTGCTCCAGGCTCGTAATCCACGGGCATCGGTAGTTGGTACAGAGGACGCACTTTGTTTGCGATATTCTTCTGCAACTTGCTCTGAACTTGGAGCCACGCCAATCGCATTCATATTGCACACGAAGTTTCTGGTTCTTCGTCTGGCAATCCAACGCTGTGCAGTCTTGTAAATGCCCTGCCGCGAACCAGAAGGATCCTGCAGCGATGCTATGTCTTCCAAGCTTGTTTTGAGGTACAGCTCTTCTACATATCGTTTCTTGTCTTCTGCGTCTGCCTCTTCCATCCTTTCACGCGCAGCCTTCGCGCTGATATACTCGAGAGCCACCGCTGGGTCACCAGTAAGTACATAAATCGCCAATAAGACAAACACTTGACGGGGATTCAAGCCCATGTTGGCTTCCCGCTGCTTCTCGGCTCTTCTCGTCCGTGACAACGAAGAAATCTTTCTTCGAAGACATGCAACCTTCCAAAGGAAATCACACGACAGAAAGTAGCAACAATGCACAACTGCTCCCTTTCTATGTCGTCCTACCTACCAAAAGAAACCTCCTGGCGGATCCGCTGCAGCTCCACTGCTGGATTTGCGGCAGCCATGTTTCAAACGCAAAACCGCCTCTGCTCTGAGAAAACGGATGTCGAGTAGCAGCTAGTGGCTGTGGAAAACTGCATGATGCAGCACAAGCAATCAATCGCATAGCCTGTCTGAACACCGCTGGCTTTTACTCTACAGGCACGACTTGGCCTCCTAGCACTTGCTGTGGGAATCAAGCCCCATAAAGCGGTCCCAAGCCCTGCGCCAGCAAGACACACTGCCCCGCCCCCCGGAGGGGTGGGTTCGACCAACAGGAAACAAACAGGATCAGCGGTCACGAGCACTACACTTCAAAAGCGGCTGCCTCTGACTTTGACGACTCCGCAGCGGTCACGAGCACTACACTTCAAAAGCGGCTGCCTCTGACTTTGACGACCCCGCCATCACCTGGGCACTCTCTCTCCCTCTCGCTCACACTCACGCGCACACTCACTCTCACCCTCACTCTCACCCGCACTCGCACTCGCACTCTGACTCTCACTCTCGCTCTCACTGTCACTTTCAGTAATTCTCTCTCTCTCTCTCTCTCTTTCCCGCCCCTCCCTCCCTCCCTCCCTCGCTCCCTCCCTCCCTCCCTTCCCTCCCTCCCTGTTCCCTCCTTTCCTCCTCCTTCCCTCCTTCCCTCCCTCCCTCCCGCGCTCCCCCAGAAGATACTCACAACCTGAACGTGTCAAACACTTGATACACCATTTTTTTCGAACTCTGCACTGCGGCTGGTGGCTGCGCTAACTCTCAATTTCTAGACAATGTTGCCTTTTTTGCATGGAAAGCACTAGCGAAATACAACACGGCAGATACGGACGGCCTCAACGTGTCAAACACTTCACACACCATTTTTTTCGAACTCTGCACTGCGGCTGGTTGCTGCGCGAACTCTCAATTTCTAGACAATATTGCATTTTTGCACGGAAAGTACTAGCGAAATACAACACGGCAGATGCGGACGGTCTGAATGTGTCAAACACTTCATACACCATTTTTTCGAACTCTGCACTGTCCCTGGTGGCTGCGCCACTCTCAGTTTCTTGACAATCTTGCCTTTTTTGCATGGAAAGCACTAGCGGACAACGACACGGCAAATACGGACGGACTGAACGTGTCAAACACTTCATAGACCAGTTTTTTCGAACTCTGCCCGTCGCTGGTGGCCCCGCGAACTCTCACTTTCTTGACAAATATTGCATTTTTGCATGGAACATCATGGAAACCACTAGCGAAACACGATACGGCAGATACGGACGGCATCAACGTCTCAACCACTCATTCATTCCCTGACTCCCTCATTCCCTGATTCGCTCCCTCCCTCCCTCCCTCACTCCCTCATTCACTCCCTCCCTCCCTCCCTCACTCCCTCCCTCCCTCCCTCCCTCACTCCCTCCCCTCCCGCACTCCAGCCTTCCACCCCTCAGCCAGGCTGGAAGGCTGGAGGGCTGGAAGGTTGGAGGGAGGGCTGGAGGCTGGAGTCCAGCCTTCCAGCCCTCCTCCAACCCTCCAGCCTTCCCTCCAGCCTCCACCTTCCAGCGCTCCAGTTCCAGCCTTCCACCCCTCAGCCCTCCAGCCTTCCAGCCTTCTCCAGCTCCCAACCCTTTCCAGCCCCTCCCTCTGCTTCTCTGCCCTAAAAAGCTGGAGGGCTGGAGACCTGCAGAGCTGGAAGGCTGGAAGGCTGGAGGCTGGAGGGCTGGAAGCCTTTTTTGGAGGCACTGCCCGCCAAAGTGAGAAAATCTGACGTGGTCTTGGAAGCCTTGCACCGAAGTGACAACAGCAGACGTTGGCACTTTCAACACCTTCTTCGGAAACCCAACGTCATCTTGGGAGGCACTGTCACCCCAAACTGAAAACAGCAGACGTCCTAGCTTGAAACTCTCTGCCTCGGCACTGGCCCCAGAGTGAGAAAATCTGACGTGGTCTTGGAAGCCTTGCACCAAAGTGACAGCAGCAGACGTGGCCCTTTCTTCGCCATAGTCACTCATGCATTAGCAGTCATTAGCAATACAATTTCTGTGTGCAGTAGACGTGCACCGAATTGGAACGCAGCCATGATGCGTCCTCAGGTGACAGCTCATGCAACTCTGCAGTCCAGGTGTTGCTTGTGACGATCATCATCGTGCCATAGACCCAAACCTTGTAAGAGTAGCAATTCGTGTTGGAGCTGGCCAGTTCCAGTGGTTGCACACCACCCTGGAAAAGCTTCTTGTGCCGGAGAACCATGGCACAAGATGCCTCATCAAACACGATCGCGCGATGAACATCATTGTTGAAGTCCCGCAAATTGGGTTCCATGGACGATGCACAATTCAACTCCAGAGTGTGTTCGGGTCCTGCAAGGCTGGAGGCAAAGATCGTCTTGCCGAGCTTCGTGGGTCCGTCCAGCACCAAGAAGCGTCGTCTGAAAGCATCCACCTGGAATTGAGGCAAGAACTCTTGTTCCACTGGTTCCAGATACACCCGAGGACGATGCATGCGGAGCAAGGCTGCCTGTGCTGCAGCCTGGCGTTCCTGCAAGTTGCTCTGCTGGGTCATCTGGACCTGTGATGTGACATTGTCACAATACTGTTTGACGTGCTTTTTGCACTTGAGATAGAGTTCCTTGGCCGATTCCGGAGACAATTTATCCCCTTGCCACATGCTTGTGATCCATTCTGGAGACACTGCATAGGACTTGAACGGTGGTGCATTTGTGGCATGGAGTATGGCACCTGTCTTGAGCGGAGTCAAGTAAAAGTGCCCCTGATCATAGGCTCGTTTGCAAGCCCGTCCGCGGGCGACTGGTGCTGCAAGCGACCTGTACGGCTGCGAGTTGCGAAACTTCAATCCAGGCTCATTTCGAAATGAGATGGTCTTGCCAATGGCATCAAACATAAAATGTATGTGTACCGATGGAATGGGAGGGTTGGCCGCAAGCGAAGCTTCCACATGTAGCTCCATGGCTGCAGTCCAGCGCGTGATAGGTGTGCTTGACACCAGCTGCTGCCTGAAGGCCGAGAACTCGTCCCACAATCCTTGCACATAGGGGTGACACTTGAGGCGACTGCATACCTCAGAAATGCCATTGTGACCCTTCGCAACCAGCACCGCCGACATTGCGGCATCGTCCACACGGCTCCACGACCCTGAATACCGAAACATAGTCCCACTGCCACGGTACGAACTCATGACATCCTCCTCCACCTCATGTGGGCCACGGAGGGGCGTCTCAGATGTCCAAGCCATGATTAGACGGGTGGCTGCTGCATGAAGCCGGGGTGGTACCTGCCCAGACTCCAGCATGGAACTCAGCATCTGACGCTTGTTGGCGGCTGAGGTGAACTCTCGTTTGGCCGCAGCACGTGCATCCTGACCCCCACGTCCATGCTCGGCAAGGTAGGAGGCAACCCACTTGTCTCTCACAAGCGTTCTCACCTGCCCAAGCTCATCACTCGACGGCGCGGCAGGAAGAGGCTGCTTATATAGCAAACGCCGGCGCTTCATTGAAGCAACTTTGGGCCACGCGCCAACGGCAGAACAGATCACTGGATGTCCAAAACTGTGGAAAGGAATGGAAAGGGAACACCAAACCTGTCAGAACCCTTGCGACTTCCACGTTTCTGGTGGAAAACAGAGCGGAAAGGAACGCAAAGGAACCTTCCAGATGGAAATCCCCCTAGTGGGGAAGGCATTCCTTTTTTCCCGCTGTGGGAGAATAGAATTATTATTCTCCCAGAGCAGAAAAAAAGGAACGCCTCACGGGGCTCACTGTGGCCTTCCAGCTACTAGTGGTCTCCAGTCCTTCGGCCCAGGTGGACGATGGCATGTCTTTTTCTTGGTGGATCCACGCTTGAGCGACCAGAAGAGCGTCCTTTGAGCAATAAAACTGGGGAGACAAAGCGAGCAACATGAGCAGCGCATCCCGAGCAAAATGAAACCAAGGAGGGGGGTAGCGAGCAAAACAGGCATCTCTTTGCATCGTGCGGCGCTTCTACGCTGTGAAGTGTACGTGGTGGGAGCAGGACAATGCCGAAGTGTAAATTGCGTCAACGCCTGCTCTGCAAGCTACAAAGCAAGGAGCGGCTGGACTTTTGCCCTGTTCAGTCACAAATCCGATGGAAGTCAAGCAAGCCTCGGCAACTGCACTGCCTGCAGTTTTCATTCTGAAAACAAAGCTGCACTGCACGCACGCTCCACAGCACGACACAGCAACATTCAGTCTTCAAACTGCCGCTGCACTGCACTGCTGTCTCTACCGCGTTAAAGCAACACTTCAGAGCACGACGCCACTAACATCGCTCTCTATCACGTAGCAGCACTCCAGACCATGACTTGTTCTGAGTCTGTCAATCTCAGGTCGCGACCGATGCGTCAGAAATCAGAAAAGCCTAGGGAACTGCGCTTGATTTACCTGATGCTACACTGTACTGTTGTCTCTAGTCAGTCTTGAAACTGCGGCTGCACTGCACTGCTGTCTCTACCGCGTTATAGCAGCACTTTAGAGCACGACGCCACTAACATCGCTCTCCATCACGTAGCGGCACTCCAAACCATGACTGGGACTGTTCTCAGTGTGTCAATCTCAGGTCGCGACCGATGTGTCAGAAATCAGAAAAACCTAGGGAGCAGCGCTTGATTTACCCGGTGCTACACTGTACTGTTGTCTCTACTCAATCTTCAATTGCCGCTGCACTGCACTGCTGTCTCTACCGCGTTAACAGCACTCCAGAGCGCCACACCACGTAAAACTGGATTTGCAGAGTCTCCAGCTATTCTTTGGAAGCGTGTTCTTGGCAGAAGTCTAAAAATCTCCGCTCAAAACCAGAAAATAACACCTTCAACCCTAAAAGGAGATGTTGGTTGGGAAACCCCAGATGTGTTGAGGAACCCTAAACCCTAAAAGGAGCTGAACTGAAAGAGCAACCCTGCGAAGAGTCTTGAATTGCCGCTGCACTGCTGTCTCTGCCGCGTTAGCAGCACTCCAGAGCACGACACCACGAACACTGCCCTTTACCGCGTTAGCAACTCAAAAGGTTGC